TTATATCCAATTAAGAACTATACTGTGCAAAGTCAAACATGTATTGAGGATTTCATATTGCATTATATGGTTTATTTACAAGGAGAGTGTATTTGTAGTTACGAAATATATAACATATGTACATAAATTATTCATATTAACAAATTGGCTTTGTTCTTGTTTCTTTGATCTCTGTGATGCTGTACATTAACAGAAATACAATGCCATAATTATGTAAGTGCTTTCTTTGGCAGGTAATTAATCTAATATGCTTCCGCACACAAATAAACAAATCGAATATTTCTATGGACTACTAGTATGTACATTGTTTAAATGGAAGCATTAAGAGGAATAGTCTGCATAGGAAGTGTATCAGTCTAAATAAATAATTAAATAATGAAAAAAAAACTAAATAAATAAATAATTAAATAAATCAAACTTCACTTAGGCTTACAAGAACAGTTCTGTTAGTAGTTAATATGTATCACATTTATACGAAAGACCGGTAGGGCCATTTCAACTTCACGAATTCCCGATTTCATCTTCATGAATTAACAATTTAAACTTCGTGAATTCACGTTTTCAACATACGGAATTCACGAATTCAAGATTTAACTTTATATATTCACGACTTCAACTTAACGAATTCAACTTCGTGAATTCACGATTTCAACTTCATGAATTCACGATTTCATCTTCATGAATTCACGATTTTAACTTCATGAATTCACGATTTTAACTAAACGAATTCACGATTTCAACTTCACGAATTCACGATTTCAACTTCATGAATTCACGATTTCAATTTCATGAAGTTTAAATCGTGAATTCATGAAGTTGAAATTGTGAATTCATGAAGTTGAAATCGTGAATTCGTTAAAAGTTGAAAAGGGAGAAACTCGGGGAAGGGTTAAAAAAATGCCCCCACCCCCAAACCCTTTGTAAAATTTTTATGGTTTTTTTATTAAAAGCCGTTTTTTATTAAATTTTCGAAAAATTTTAAGGAAAAAATTTGGAAAAAAAGGTGAATTGTTTTGGAAATTTAATTTTTACATATTTTTTTCCCAAAATTAAATAAAAAATTGAAAACCCCAAAAAAAACAACAAACCCCTTTCCCAAAAAAATAAATGCCCCCAAGTGGCCACGTTTTTAACTTTAAAAAAAACTTGGATTTTGGGTTAAATTCCAAGGGTTTTCAAATATTTTGGGTTTTAACCATTTCCCTCATATAAACGGTTTTTTTGAGGGTTTTTAAAACCTTTTGAGGCCTTCAAAAATAAAAGAAATGCCCTTTTTGGGCCCCCCAAGCATTTTTTTTCATTTGAGGAATGTTGTTTAAAAAGTGCCCACCTTTTTGGAGCCACCCCCGTCAAAAGGGAACATCAAGGGGTTCCCAGAAGGGGGATGGCCCCTTCTTGTTGGGTGGTTTGAAGGGAAGCAGTGTCCCCCTTTTCTTCATCACCAAGAAAATTTTCGACTAAAATGGCTTCAGGTGGATTTTAATGTAACGTGTAACCAAGGCTAAAAATCCTTTTACACTCTCTCTTAATCCATTGAGAAGTTGCAGCACTTTGAATTCAGTTTTGATGCAAAAACAATGCAAAATAGTGTTTTTGGTAATTTTGAGACGTCTCCCGTTGCCATGGTTACAACAGATTTTAAGCATGCCGTTACAAAGGCTTTGGTCCAGTCGATATTTATGGTAAGTTTCATCAGTATTGAAGCATTTATTATAGTTTCAAAGCAGTTTCAACTTGAAACAGGGTTTTTTTAGTGAAAACGACCCCTTTTCACAATATGCTCATGCAGTTGTTAAAGGGTAAATACTTGGTCTCAAAAAGTATCTTAGCACAATGTTTTTTTATGTCTTTCGTTGTCTTAGTAAATGTTTTAAAAGACACCCATATCTTTGTTATATTCTACCATACAATATATTTTTTCTTCTTCATTGAAACTAGTTAAATAACAATGTTCCTTCTATTTCTAAGAACATAATTATAATATCATGCTAGTTGCTTGACGATTTTCCATTTGTCGTTAACACCGAGCCATATTTTGTCGACGAACATCGTCAAGGTTTTGAGTTTCGCCGAATGTCAAATTTGGGTTTTCAAAAAGAAACTAAAATAACAGGTAAGACATATTTTGTAAAACATGCCATGTGTATTGACATGATTGATACTTGGTTACTTGGATGTGTTCTCAAAAATGCCAAACAACATTACATTTTACGTTAATGGAACTTTTATGCAAACCTCATATTCAATCATGTGAAACATTGACTTTAGACGCAATGAGTCACTTAAGAATTGTAAAGATACTTTCGAGCTATAATGAGCTCAAACAATTGCCAGCTTGAGTATGTGTATAGAAGCGAAAGAGACTGTTAGTGTACATTGAAAAAATGGACAATAATAGGAAATTAAAACCGTTTGCATTTGCTTATAACCTCAAATGACAGCAGAATTAATCAGAATCATTAAATGATTTTCAATAGTTATCTTATTTATTGAGTATTTTCTTGTAATCCCGCTCACCTTTCTATTACAGCTGACCTAAGTGTATGTTTTCCGGCTTTATAACCCAGTTGGAGTACCTTAGAGATGATTATTTCATACACAGCTGACATTTTAAATTTGATACTTCTTTAAAAGGTTAATATTTTCATTGTCATAACTTCCATGCCCTATTTTGATTACGTGATTTGTATCCTTTATTTATGGAGTTCATTAAAACAAAATAAGATACAAAGTGGGATGTTCGTGTTGATGACATATTACTATTTCCACATTTTTAACTTTAATATCTTTTTTCAATTCAAGAATAAAACGAATCAACAGTAAATTTGATATTAAATGCGTTTTATATGTCTTAGAGAATATTCAATTACGCACCAAACAAAGATGTCGTTGGGAAGATTATTAAATTATCTTTAAACACGAAGAAATAAAAGTATTAACTGTTTAAAAAACACAAACGTTCTCAGGATATACAGAATAAAGTTTGTACTTTATATTATACTCTACATTTAGAAAAAATATATTGTTTCTTTGTTCACCAACGTTCTCTCGTTTGACTGTCTAAATATAATTTTAGCAATAGATAATTAAGCTTAGGTTAGATTGATCAAGTTAATCAACTAAAGAAAAGTATGTGTTAGTTAAAATATCAGAATATATACACATGTTTCGATTTACAATACACACGAAGCATTTCACAATATTCTTAAAACAGGATTAGAATGGATGACAAAATATCTTATGAAATTATTCTCTTCAGTGATTAATTGACATATACAATTGTAAAAAGCGCTTAAATCATTACATATTGAATAATATGAGAGGACACATATAAAACAAAACACAAAATCATTGAGGTTAAATCAGAAAAACGAAAACACAGATAATGTATTTAAATGCTTCAAGAAACATAGTATATGGTCCATCTAATATAATTAGAATGAATATATTATTGGTTCGAATAAATATTTATATTTATATAAACGTACAAAAATAGAATAGTATTTGAAAAACATGTTTTGTTATATATTCATCTTATTTTAACTTGCATTTACTCCTTTTTTACTTTACTTTCTCAATTCATTTTTGCCATCATTGTGTATCATTAAAGTTTTTTTGCATGCAAAGGGGTAAACGAATTTTTGACATCATTTTAAATCCAATTGAGCTACAAAATATAAATAATCATATAATTATTAAAAATCAAACGAAATATAATTTCCGTACAGAAACAATGGTTATAATATAATAATGTTATTGACATTTTGTTTATGCTTGATATCTATTAATTGATACATTTGGAAAACGGTGATTTTGTAACGTAATTCGTCCTTATTTGAAAATATTTTGTTTCCTCAAAGCAATTATCTTTTCCATAAAATAATTGTATCAATGTATCTTTCTTTACTTCTTTCGATGTATAAGAAAACTGGATAAGCTTAACAAATCTAAATAGCCCGAATCATCTTATAATATATCTTCTCAAGTTAGGAATTATTTGAGTTAAATAGAAAATTAACCCTAATGAAATAATTACTGATGCGGTGTATTCATATATCCGGACAATCTCATGCCCAAATCTTTATATGTCCTTATCAATAACGAAGGGCTTCAGTTTAATTGATGTAACAATTACAAAGGCACTTCAATTTGACCACGGCTTTAATTAAAACCGTGATTTGACATTAAGTTCCTTTGACGAGTCCTTTTAAAATGGATTGTTCCAAAATTACGAATGAAATTTTATAATATGATCATTGTGCTTGTTTGCTAATTTACTGTTAAAACTGAAACGTTTGACACACGGTTAACACAGATATGAAATATAATGATGATGTATAAATAGTATTTTTTCACATATTAGCGTACTGACTTGCTCTATATGTGTAAATGTCACTTGAGTGGTAATCAAAAAATAACATTATATGTCAACAAAGTCAGTTGCAGTGTAATAATATTGCAATGAATAAATCTATATTATATTTACTGATAATAATCGTTTAAATATAATTACCAAATGCTCTTTACAAGACAATTTTGGTGTCAACTAGGATTGTAAAGCATTATTGCACAACTTCTTGTTTATTTTTTACTTGTTTTGTTTTTGTTTTTTGTTGTTGCTTTTTGTTATTTAGTCTTCAGACCTTTCAATATATCCAAAGATTTATCAATATAGCTTATTAAATTGTTATGAGGCGGTTTAAATACATTTTTGGGTTATTTCATTTTCACTGTGACTATAACGAAAACATGATTATATTGATAAAGCAGTTAATGTCAAGCAGTTTGCGCCAGCTTTAAGACAAGGTGCACACCAATGTGTTTTAAACCTGTTACAATTTTCAGTGGGAAGGTCTTATAAAAGCCTAAACGAATCAATTTTTCTTGCCTACTATTATTTTCTTCGCCAAAAATATATCAAAGAAACTTTATAGTGGTATTATAATAAACATTGTGTAGCGTTGTTGAAAAATATTCCTTATATGTTTTTGGGTGTCAAAATGGCTCAAGTTCCACACAAACTTGTGGTTGAAGGTTTGCCTTAAACGGGTTAGACATACGATATGCAGTCAGCGTTTACCCCTGCGTTTACTGCGTGGACGTAAGAAGCGACTAAAAGGGTTCGAATAATTAAACTTCAGCAGAGAGGTGGCTTTGATCCCTGGTGTTACTTTCGGCTTTGAAGGTAAGCCAAAAATCTTTTTTTTTCTGTCTCGGTGCCATATTACATATACTGTTTTGGTGCGCCGTGTAACCAACTCAAATTCTGAAGCCATTTTTAAGTTTATAAATCAATTGCATTTTTTTATTCTGCATCCGATTGCCTTTCAAATTTATTCTTATTTTCAACTACATTTAGAAATTATATCACGAATCATTCTCGCAAATGACACATGGATACAGATGAGATTCCTGAACAATAGCTTAAAGCCATTAAATTAAACATTAATAATGAAATATACCCATATTAACTTACTTTAATAATCATAAAGTCTCGTCTTTCCCAGTTTAAAAAATATAGTATAGAATAATTCATTACAATATATCAACTGAAACAAAATCAGGCGAAACTAAATACAGATTCATACTACATAAATAAGACAAGATAATATTTAAAAATAACTATCCATTTTCCATATTGATCAAATCATCAAATATCAAATTAAAAAAAAAATTCTTTATGTAAATTATAACGCCAGAGGTAAAACAAAACTATATTCCTAAAATGTTAAACGTCGCAATTTCAGAGAATGAATTTAAGTTTAATTAGTAAGCTATGTATAATTTATATACATATCATACATATGTAAGATATATAAGATATAAAATGTTTTTTCTGTAGTGGAATAAACAAAATGTAAAAAATCGAATCGATTTCAGTGGATTAATCAAACGCTACTACTAAGTCATTCAAGCTCATAACACTTATCATCATCTTGTACCATATCGCGAATTGACGGCTAATTTCTTGAAATGTCATGATTATTACTCTAAACAGTGATTTATTCTCTTTGTTATTGTTTCATTTTACAGTATCTGTCAATCATAACATATTGATCTGCTTATCAATGTCCCAAGAAAATTAAAGCGATGGAACATCTCTGATTTATAAGACATTATCAATGATATATCTTGATTGAAAACAGAGTTTTACGTTAAACAAATCATAGCGAGTTATAAAGAATAAATATTTATTTATTGATTAAACAAATCGTTAATGATGTTTGATTCAGGATCCACACAGATCTTTGAGTTTTATTAATTAAACTTGCATAGCAACCGCAGCTTCTTTTGATGCTACAATCTCAGTCAAAAAAGGTTCGACTGGTTATATTTCTCGATTTTTGTGTACAATTAGACATAGCTCTTGACCAATAACTTGTGATCATTTGCCCTCTTCGATTTTCCAGAAAAAGCATAAGTTAGTTTAAATTGGGCCCCGAATTACTAAAACAAATCAAATCAGTATATTTAATAAATGCAACTTATTTTCTAACCTAAAAAGCGCCCCTGTTGATATATGTAAGAATTGTAGGTTAGTAAATCTATTATTCTAGACTGTCAATTAAATGATTAAATATATGATATTGTTTTTTAGATTTGAAAGGATATGTGTTTTTATCTAAGCGACACATGTACTGATTTTAAAAATGTCCTTAAAATAGCTTGGAATATTTATAAAAATACAAATTTGACAGAAAAGAAAACAATAGATATGCAATTGTTAAGTCTCAAATTGCATAACTAGTATGATGACAACATGTTATGATAATTGGCTGACTATACGGTCTAATATAAATGAAAACAACTTCACTTTATGCATGATATTTTAGAAATAATATATCCCAAACAGTGATTTTATTGCTGAACATGATTGTTTGGAGTTCGGATGCGAGGAATTATATCACGAGGATGTAGCCCGACTGATATAATGATGCGCATCCGAAAGACAAACAATGATTTTATCAAGCAATAAAATCACCGATTTGGATATATTATTTCGATTCCGACACGACATCAACAAATAAATGCTGCAGTACCTGATATTAAGCTAAATTGCGCCTGATTTGTTTCCGTACTTATAGTGGTTACGTCATGTGTATAATGATTACGTCACATGTCTAAATATAAAACGTCAAACAGTGATTTTATAGCATAATATCACACATTTTCGGTTCTTCTATGTTCAATAGAGACAAATGCGGGTCGTGTTAGAATATCATGTTTCAGATGATATTACTTTGGTTTTGTTTAGAAACTAAATAATTATTATAAAATGATATAAATAATTCTCATGAATTACATGTGCATACAAATATATATTTTTAATTATTTATTTAATATGCAATTGAATACAATAACATTATGTACGGTATATGATTTGATTTATGTACATTATGAATATACTGTATATAAAATCAATCTAAGGGATGATTTGGATGCCACAAAGTTTAACATTTTCAGACCTATTACATATGAATATAAACGGAGTAACTCTACTGGGGAGCCAATTAAATCTGAAATACGAATCGATTTTGGAGTAAGTTTATAGGCAGTATGTAAATAGACAGAATTTGTCTAGATGCATTACCGTGTGTCATATTTCAATCGATACGAACAGCATTCACAGTACACAGAAATTTTTTCTACATGTATATATAGCAGAACATCTGTTGCTTGATATTTGATAGAAACCTTTGATATAATGAGATGAATTAAATGTTTTATTTATAACATCAAACAATTTGTTAAATCGACTTAAATATTTGATTTTGATACATAACATTAAACCAATAATAATACATGTAAAATTCGTAATAGTGAAAAAACACACTCAGTCCCTAAAGAAGGCCCAACACGGCAAAACTGTAAAATGTTGAAGGCTCGGTTTGACTGAGTCTGTTCATGGACGGTAATGGAAATTGCAAAATACCGTCCACGACCCCTAGCACCGGCTTAAGCAGAACTCAGCATTTAAACACTAAAATGGTGAAATTTTGAATTTAGAAACATCCGCAGATGTGTTCATACGGCGGTTATCATGGAACCTTCAATGTGACACATTACGAAGTGTCATTCCATGAAAAGCGGCGTAAGGTCCCAAAGTAAAAGAATGCGTGTGCCCTAAACGAGAAAACAATGGGCGGAACTAAATGAAATGGAATTCTGAAAGGGGATCTGAGGTTATGTAGCCTGTATATCAAATATAAGACGTTAAAAGACAAATTTAAAAAGCAGGCAACATATCCAAAAGGTGATTATACAGTATTCAAGTAGGAATACTGGAACCACCCAAGTTGAAAAAGGCCAAATACAAGAAACTAAAAATACAATGTAAAATGTATACACAACAATAATGTCTTGCTGAACGATCTTTAAGGATCGAAAATATAACATCATTGATTAAATGTACGGGGAGACTTTTTACAGCCGCCACACGGCACAAATAACACGGATGTGACAATGAAATAGTGAAAAAAATAGAATCCCTAAAGAAGGCCCAACACGGCAAAATTGTAAAATGTTGCAGGCTCGGTTTGATGGACGGTAATGGAAATTGCAAGCTACCGTCCACGCCCCCCTAGCACCGGCTTAAGCCGGATTCAACATTTAAACACTAAAGTTTTGAATAAGACTGGCATATTTTTAAGAATTCATTAACAATGAATTGAAATTGTCACTCTAGTTTAAACAAGATATTGACATATATAAAATATTAACGAAATTGATCAACCAACAATTAAAAAAAATAGCTTGGCTAATCTAGCGCGAATTTGTTTTTAATAAAGCTTCAAGAAGGTCAAATGAACGAACCGTAATGCATAAATAAACAATTTGCATCTTCATTTTCTTCACAATTAGGTGACAACATCTGCAAAGCAATACAGAATACATTAGCTATCATAGGCAAACATTGTATGCTTTTTGTTATTTTTTTCACAAAGGACGTTTGCGTGTGTTCGAAAACAAGTATAATGATTCAAATACTGTAATGCAAAATAATCTTATACCAGACAAAACGAAATGTTGTTGCCTGTTTATATGTGGATTTACATGTCCACAAAACACGAAAATAAGTGTCCCGCGAATAATGAAGAATTTGCAGTATGTGCAATAGTACCGCATCTTACTGTAACTCATGTGCAGCAAATTTCCCGAAAAAAAACAACAACAAATAATAAGTTTATTATTCCAAATAAAGAAACTATACTGGGCAAAGTCAAACATGAATTGTGGATTTCATATTGCATCTAAATATCTATATTTATATTTCATGCATTCTTATACAATTGTTGTCGAGTGTGCCATTGAATATGATGTGATATTCACCGGCAAATGACATATTGATCGAGGCGATAGCCAAGGTCAATATGACTTTCTGCCGGTGAATATCACATCATATTCAATGGCACACTAGTCAATAATTGTTTTATAAACTTTAAGACATTTGGTGAATATATCATATTTAGCACTATGCATATGTTAGTGTTCACCCGTGCTGTTCTACAGAAATTAGAAACTTCGACGGGAGCGATAGCAACAGGAGAATGTTTCTAATTTCTGTAGAACAGCACGGATGAATACTAATATATTTAGTGTCAAGCTTTATTTGGCTTCATTATCATTCACTCATTACGCCACTATGCGGTTCTATGAAGTACTATGAAAAATAGAAGTCGACTATGGACGGAATTCGATATAGTATCGACTTTTGTACTTCTATGAAAATTAACGCACATAATTTTTAAGAAATACAGCGTTTTCATTGGATGACAAATAAAGTTGGACACTAAGTAAGTATCATTTGTGGTTAGCACCCTTTTCCAAGAAAGAGCAAAATCCTTAAATGATATCAACATATCATCTAGGAGCATCCATCCTTGTTAACCATATTATTATTATATAGAAAATAATATGTTTTGTCTTATTGTAATGTTTATGTCACGAGGGTAATATACCGACATGTATAATTTATTGTTTGTATGTATGTCTTATATATTGTGTCGTTATATATTCCCTGTACGTTTGTCATT